TATAGGAACCTACTAGGATTTCAGAAATGAACAGCAATCACATCCTCCCAGAGATTAAGAAATCCGACTCCCATTCACTTGCAAGGCACATACATGATGCTCTTGTACATCTTGGCATTCTTGAGAATTTGAGTGAGCACTCGTTAGGAATAAATTCTTTGCTGTGAGGGTGGTGAGACACTGGCCCTGGTTGCCCAGAGAAGCTGTGGCTGCCCCATCCCTGGAAGTGTTGAAGGGCAGGTTGGATGGGGCTTGGAGCAGCCTGGGCTGGTGGGAGGTGTCCCTGCCCATGCAGGGGATTGGATCTAGATGATCTTGAAGGTCCGTTCCAACCGAAACCTTCTATGATTAGACAACTGTTTCCTTGTGAGATAAAACAAAGGCCTGAAAGTGAGGCTGGAGGTGAAATTGAGGACTGCTATCAATCCTTTGCACTCACCTACAGCTGACCTCCTGTGCTGCCTGTGGAATTCATGGAAAGGAGCTGCTTTGGATGCAACAGGAGGTGTCTGGAGAGTTATCTTTGATGCTGGAAGGACAAGCCTTTGTTCAGTTAGGCTCAGAATACCTACAAGATGATGACATTACTCAACGATTCATACTTTGGCAGTGATGAAAGAAAAGAGAATGAGTGGCAATGAAGAAAGGATTAAACAAATGTAGATGCAAACCAAAATTCCAAAACCTGTAGTTTTCTTTTATTGAAAGGTTTGTATCTTTCAACAGTTCACCTTCAAGGAAGGTGAACTTTGCCTATAAAAATTGACAAACACATGAACGATTCTCTAATGGTGCTGATTCTGAGAAGGAACTACATGTATAATGGAAATTCAATGTGCAGAATGGATGAGAATTAACTCTTGTAAGTCACATTGTAACCATTAATATGGACTGATGCCTAAAGTAGTCCAAGTGCAGGTCTAGTTAAGATTGAATGACCAAAAACTAGACATCAATCACAACCTTTCTATTTAGTGATACCAGAATCCTCCGGCACACAAAATTCTTTCCAGCAGCAACTGAACTCTATGAATTACAAGGTAACTGAGAGAGGATGATGCTAACCATAACAAGTGCTATGTGCTAAGTTAGCTGGCACTTGGATTAAGTAGCCTGAAGTTGATCTCTACCCTTTGCAACACTTGAAACCACAATTCTTACAAGTTTCGAGGTGCCAGAAGATTTGGCTACCAGATATCTGCAGAAAACAACAAATAACATTGCTTCAGTAGCACACACCTGTACTGTACTGGGGTGGGCTTCTGGGACTCACCCCTTTTGTTACATCTTCCTCCAACAGGGGCAAGGGAGAATCCATGTGATGAGAGACAGGCAAACCCCAAAGGTTGCCAGCTGCATGACTTTTCACTATCTTCAGACTACACACCTAGGAAGAGACAATCTTTTAACAAAGAGAAATCCTGGATTTGCAAAGCCCCTTTTCTACTCCTGCAATAACCAGTACAATTTCTGTATAAATAGTTTCATTAATATTTAATAACATAATGGTACAAGAACTGCTTTTGCTGCTTATGAACATGCTACAGTTTTGTCTGCTGTCATTGCTTTAGTATTTTAAAATAAAGTTCATTAAATGCAACTGAGGTCTTATGACTTTTGTGCAAAAATCAGTGTACTAGGAAAGGAGCTACAAAGTTGGCTGTTTGAATGAGTATAGTGTAAACTTAGTATTTCTTGACTGGACAGTCTTTAAATATATAAAATGCATGCACAGGCAAGGTACCAGAAGGGAAATACTTAAATATGTAAATAAATATTTGCCGGGAAGAATTCCAATGGAATTAAAGTATGTGAAAGTACTGACAAATCAGAGAACAGTAAGTATGACAGACTTTGGAGAGTCTCTTCTCCTTAAGGAGAGCAGGGAATGACACAGCCTGACAACGCCATGTGGAAACGTGCCACACTGGCTATGCTCATGTGGAGGTTAAAGCTCCCTTACTTCCCCAATTAACCTGTGCTTGCCTGAAAACACAGAACCTGCTGTTCTAAGCACCAGGAATTCAAGCAGTGACACACACCTCATCTTGGGACAGTGATACCATGTGTCTTACTGATAAGCGTATCTCCACACCTCTAGGGGATTGCACAGGGAAAAGAATATATTGCCACCCTGTACTTCAGTATTATACAAATAAAACCTCTGTGTTATCATCTAATATCTGTTTCTCTCTCCAATAAGCTAAGTATGAGCATATGCAACTTCAAGGTGAGTAACATCCCTGAGATCTCTCACTTGACAACAGTGAAAACACCACCAGCAGCAGGTTATATTGTTTTCTCTCACCTGGCTGATGCCAGGAAAATGAAACAATGATAAAACACAAGATACATAGAAGACTCAAATAAACTCAAATGTTTTATGAAGCAAAAGGAAAATTTACCACTGGTCTATCAATCCTTACTCTGCCAACAGATTTTTGGAAATCTAGATAAAATTTTTTGTTATGAATTATAAACTACCTTGAAGTAGTATTAAATACATAAAAGCAGAAAGCTAGGAAGTAGTGGCAGATCTGCAAAAGGGGAACAATGGTATTTATCTCTTTTATAGACCACAGTGGGACTTCATGGTTTCAAATACTTGGGTTCAATGACTGATTAGCATGTTCATGTCCAGCACTTAGTACAACAGGATCCAGGCCATGAGTTGGATCCTTGAGCACTGTTGTGTCATCATGAGCCATCAGCTTCACAGAAAGGGATAGGCAATTCTAAAGAACTGCTCATAAACTTAATAGGGGAAAAAGACAGATCAAAATAAACTATTATAATTTTTCCTCCCAATTTGTATAACAACACTGTCCACAAGGGACATTAGGGAGACAGAAAATATAAATGCTTTATCATAATGGAGAATCTTTCAGAGAAATCATAGGCACTCTTTTAGTTGTGCCATGATGAAGCATTATGCTTTGATTGATTCTTTATCACTGACAGAATGTCGTTTTTGGTGGGATTCTCATTAAGCTCAAAGCCTGATGCGACTTCCGCCAACTTTTTACAGTTGATTGTAGCCAATGGTACAGCATAATCCTTGAGAAGCTTTTCTGTACGTTCCAAAAAACCAACAATGCTTCCCCAAGATAAACAATAATGTTGCTTGAATGCCAGGAAGCCTGGAGCTTTCTGGTCTATCGTGCCATGGCAAACAGCAATGTCACAATCAAAGCATGGATCCTGTGAGGACTGGCATGGAGACGGCTGTGGGGGCTGAGGGAGAAGAGCCACAGATCAAGAGTAATTGCCATTGCTTGTGGTCAAGACACACAACTATGTTACTAGTTATGATTTAACTGTGGGAATTTATGCATCTGAAATACACTCATACTGATTTATACATCACAACCATAAAATCTAGCCCAGCTTTACCATGAAACCCACTGCCATGCAAAGACCTCAGAGGTCACACAGGATGATGAGCATTTTTATAGAAATACATACACTGCACAGAGGAACTAGGCTGGGTTTCCCAATATATAAAAATGAAGCTCTACTGTAAGTCACTGGACTAAATCAGAAAGGAACTGCAACTCTCTCCATCCATCCTAGGAGAAGGGGTAACATCCTGCCATATAAATGCAAACTGGAGTAAAACTTAGAATGGAAACGTTCCTGCCTCTGGACAGAAATCCCTATTTACTGGCAACTTTAGCCAGAAACTCATTAGCTCGGATTTTCTATCTAAGTACACTATTCTCAAACTATTTTTAGGTTGTTATTTTTATTTACTTTAATAACACCTCAATCTCCATTTCTCAGGTTTGCTTCATCTTTGATTTTTCAGATCTCCTCTTTCCTTCTCAGATCTCCTCAATGCCACAAAAGTCAAAAATTCTGGAAAGATCAAGCAACACTCCAGACAGTTTGCTACGAAACATGGTAATTAGCCATAAAAAGAAAGAAATGTCCCTTTTGCGTGGGGATCAAGAACAATCAGCAAGCATTAAGCAGTCAAGGTCAAACTCCCCTATAGTCTTCTGTAAATGTAAAGGGAAACACTACATTTGCTTAACTGCAGTGAGGGAGATTTAGATGAGACATTAAAAAACTCTTTTATAACAGTAAAGATAGTTAAGCACTGCAGCAGATGGCCTAGGGAGACTGTGGAGTCACTATAACTGAAAGTTTTCAGAACAGGTTAGAAAAACATCTGTCTGCAATATTACAGGTACAGGTAATTCTGCCTGGAGGTCCAGATAACCTCAGAACATCCTTTCCAGACTTATTTTCTAAGATTCTGTGAAAAAAATAGAAATTTAGGTAGACTTGAGAAAGCAGAAACTGACAATATATGAAGTATTTCCTATTTTGCTTCAGTATTTACTATTTGGTGGCTTTGGTTCAAACTCTCCTGTACAAATTCAGTGATTCGCAGTAACTTCCTAAACCATCTCTATTGCAGTATTAAAAACATGAATAAAAATCTCATTATCCTCACTCTCTGAATACCTGGGTCTGAGAGGGAATCTGCAGCTCAGATTCCAACTGTTGAGCTGGATTTATCTACAACTGCTTTGATTTCCTTGCTGGAATCATGGAAATGCTGGATGGAAGTGGTGCAGTGTTACCTTTACTAGAGGAATATGTGCCATGAATTGTTTCCTTTGAGTTCGGGAAGGAGATGGTGTCTGTATTCTCAGGGTCCACCCTACTACTAATCTCTCCTGTAGCAAAGAAAGAAATTGATGGCAGATTTCATTATTAGAAGCACAACAGCAGCATAAAATGGACACTCTACCACATACCAGTAAGTCCTGACACACTCCAGTTTGCTCTCATGTCTAAGATTGCTACTGAACCCACTGCTCATCTTGCTTATGCTCCTTTCCATACTGATATAGGAACCTACTAGGATTTCAGAAATGAACAGCAATCACATCCTCCCAGAGATTAAGAAATCCGACTCCCATTCACTTGCAAGGCACATACATGATGCTCTTGTACATCTTGGCATTCTTGAGAATTTGAGTGAGCACTCGTTAGGAATAAATTCTTTGCTGTGAGGGTGGTGAGACACTGGCCCTGGTTGCCCAGAGAAGCTGTGGCTGCCCCATCCCTGGAAGTGTTGAAGGGCAGGTTGGATGGGGCTTGGAGCAGCCTGGGCTGGTGGGAGGTGTCCCTGCCCATGCAGGGGATTGGATCTAGATGATCTTGAAGGTCCGTTCCAACCGAAACCTTCTATGATTAGACAACTGTTTCCTTGTGAGATAAAACAAAGGCCTGAAAGTGAGGCTGGAGGTGAAATTGAGGACTGCTATCAATCCTTTGCACTCACCTACAGCTGACCTCCTGTGCTGCCTGTGGAATTCATGGAAAGGAGCTGCTTTGGATGCAACAGGAGGTGTCTGGAGAGTTATCTTTGATGCTGGAAGGACAAGCCTTTGTTCAGTTAGGCTCAGAATACCTACAAGATGATGACATTACTCAACGATTCATACTTTGGCAGTGATGAAAGAAAAGAGAATGAGTGGCAATGAAGAAAGGATTAAACAAATGTAGATGCAAACCAAAATTCCAAAACCTGTAGTTTTCTTTTATTGAAAGGTTTGTATCTTTCAACAGTTCACCTTCAAGGAAGGTGAACTTTGCCTATAAAAATTGACAAACACATGAACGATTCTCTAATGGTGCTGATTCTGAGAAGGAACTACATGTATAATGGAAATTCAATGTGCAGAATGGATGAGAATTAACTCTTGTAAGTCACATTGTAACCATTAATATGGACTGATGCCTAAAGTAGTCCAAGTGCAGGTCTAGTTAAGATTGAATGACCAAAAACTAGACATCAATCACAACCTTTCTATTTAGTGATACCAGAATCCTCCGGCACACAAAATTCTTTCCAGCAGCAACTGAACTCTATGAATTACAAGGTAACTGAGAGAGGATGATGCTAACCATAACAAGTGCTATGTGCTAAGTTAGCTGGCACTTGGATTAAGTAGCCTGAAGTTGATCTCTACCCTTTGCAACACTTGAAACCACAATTCTTACAAGTTTCGAGGTGCCAGAAGATTTGGCTACCAGATATCTGCAGAAAACAACAAATAACATTGCTTCAGTAGCACACACCTGTACTGTACTGGGGTGGGCTTCTGGGACTCACCCCTTTTGTTACATCTTCCTCCAACAGGGGCAAGGGAGAATCCATGTGATGAGAGACAGGCAAACCCCAAAGGTTGCCAGCTGCATGACTTTTCACTATCTTCAGACTACACACCTAGGAAGAGACAATCTTTTAACAAAGAGAAATCCTGGATTTGCAAAGCCCCTTTTCTACTCCTGCAATAACCAGTACAATTTCTGTATAAATAGTTTCATTAATATTTAATAACATAATGGTACAAGAACTGCTTTTGC